GAGAGAGAGAGAGAATGGAGTAAAATGATTTAGGGTTTAAAATTAGGTGAGGTGAGTGTTTTGATGGGTGTTGAATTTGTAATATAATTATTAGAGTAATGTTATTCATCCCCAGTGGGGATGAATAGCATTACTCTAATTATTAATATTAAAATATTAAATTGTTACCTGATTTTTGATTAAATATGCATTATATCTGATTTTTGAAGTGTGATATTTAAACACCTTGTTTTTTTTGTAATTTTCCCAATCTTAAACTTTAACGGCCCATTTGATTTAATTTGAACCTCATTCATTTAGTAGTTTGTTGGACAGTCCTTGTACATTTGGTTTCTACCCATAAATAAAAGGGAAAATTACACAATTAGGCCTGTAAATAGAGGGTCAAATTGAAAAATTCATGTAAATACATCAGAATAATCGGGTGCATTTTAAAATATGTTATTTTTGATAAAATACAGTCTAAACAATTTTTTCTGTAAATATTTGACCAGCGTCATTAATGATTTAATAATATTGTTCGAAAATTATATGTTTGATGAAGAGGATAACTATTATGTAGAAAGGTTTAGCACAAAATTTAATGTGATTTAAAGTTTCTTATTTTACGATTTAATGTGAATTGGAATCCAATTTGATATTTTTTAATTATAATGAAATCTGCTCCTTTCATGACCACCTATCTTTCTCTTTCAAATAACAAGACCATCTGTCTCGACCTCAGATCCTACGATCAGATGCTTCATTTTCTCCTTGGAATAACTGGTATGGATAATTTGTGAATTCGTGAACTGTATTTAGAGTCGACAACTCTCTCAAGTCTTTCATCGAAGATTCCTCGGGAAGAGGATGCCACTAGAAATTAATATATATATATATGAGCAGAATTTAGCATGCTTAAGGGACAAGAAAAAGAGCGATTGTTAACCCAAAAGAGATATCTTACACGACGAATGACCACGAGGAGCCTGACGAGATCATGAGATTCGGTCATTTTACAACTTATTCTAAATCAATTATTCTAGTTAAGTTTTCCCTTCATTTATCATAGCTGGAGATCAGATTCTATGTCCCCCTTCAGAGTTCTATATTTTCTTTTTCCTCGTTATTATTAATGAATACACTGGCTAAAGTGTGGATTGATTAAAAATTACGTCTCTCGTGATTGAATTACTAATTTATACAAAACACAATGGAAAAGAAAAGGTTGAAGAGTGTATAAGGCCAAGCAATCATGTGGCTTGTGATGATAGTTTGGAAAAGAAGAAAAGAGCACAGAGGGAAAAGTAATTATATTGGGCCATAAGTTCTTATTTATTCAGAGTTTTCTTAGTCTTCAAAACAAGTACACATTGAGGGTCAAATAATATTTTTGCTTTCTTTTTTAAATTTCATTCAGAAATGATGAATAAAAGCCCATTTTATTATATCGTGATGGATCGACCTTAAGTGCACGTGAGGTTGTATCGAGTCATTTTAGCTACTCGTTTAATCTAAACATAGAAGACGCATTTCTTTATTTATATTTATATCTTCATCATGTGTCAAATGTTGACGACAAGTGAAATTCCCGTTAATAGGTGACGATCGACACCGTGCCACGAATCAGAACATTTGTATGCCTTGATACTATATTTAATTATGTGAGTAAAAGTTTGTCTCTAACATGTTGAGGTAGAGATTGAAACTTGAATCATAATTTTCCTTTTTGCTAAATTAAGGGATTAACAAAATCAGAATGAAGTCCCTTAAATACTGTCAATGGATCTGGAAAATTTTGTATGGCAGAAAGGAATTTAAACGCATTAATTTCTCCTCAATACATGCAACAAATTAAGCAATTCTGTGTGCGAGGGAGACTTCCAGCTAGAACCCTATTTTGACAATGACAAAAACCCTACAACGAAACCCTACCATATGTGGAAACTTATATGCCACTTATATGACTTACTTAGAACATCCTATCTTAAACGTATTCACAAATTTGGTATCTTGGATTGGAGACGTTTAGCGTGTATTTATACCTCTCTTCTTTGATTGGGTCGTCTTTATCTTTGTCTTTGTCTTCGACTTAAACCTTTAGGTATAGCGAGTTACGACAAAGAAACAATACATTTTAATTATTCCGTCACTATTATGAAAGTAATCGCATGTAAATCTAGAAAATATTACAAAGATCATGGATAAGCTAAATACTTTAGTATTTTAACAATTATAGTCACAATTTCATTATGGTAACAACTTGTGACTAGGGAACATAGGCCACAAGACTATATTTACTCCATGAAAAACGACTTAAGATGACAGTATAGATTGACTACAAACACTTGAACGATCACTCGAAAACAACTTTAAACTATCATTTGTAGTATAAAAAATAGGACTTTCGAGTTTGAAACCAGCTAGCTGATCTTTCATTAGTTCGTTCAGCACATTACATCCTTGAGAAGCTTGTACCTGCGTGTAGTAGGCCGGGGAGAAGGCGTCCCAGTCGGGTTTTTTCCAGCTCTTTCTGAACCCTCTTCACGATCGTGTTGTTTGATTTTATTACCTGAATAATTAGCTGTTTTTGAATCACTATTTACCTGCATGGATTTTCTTGATGAAGAACCCCCATGTTTTGAAATTTTTCCCTCACTTTGACACCAATCACATACTTGAATAGGCTCTGACAATTCACTGTAATAATTGCTGCAATACCTGTGAGATTTTCAAGAGTTCAATCAAGCATGAGTAATTAATTATAAATCAATCAGAAAATTTAGGATAAAAAACATGTGGGCTTATGTTTCCACCTTGTAAGACTTATAGTCCCATGATATGACACCATGTTTGTAGTTAAAAAAAGAAAAAATGAAAAAATGAAAGGACATATGGCATGAATGATGAATTCCCAATGATGGTGTTGTTGGTATAGACAAACAACCTCGGATGTTATGGAGCAATAATCGAATTTTTATAGCTTTTGGTCTGAAAATTACAAGCGAAAAGATCTTGTTTATAGAGTTACAAATAATTATAAACGGAAAGATTTTATATTAATTATACAAGCAAAGGTATGCATCTAGAGTTCATGATCAACACAAAACATGAAACTGAATCTTGGGTATGTGCAAATTATCATGATCATCAAATAGATGCAGAAAAATAAACACACACGCGCACACACAAAAGAGGTGTTTGATGATGGGGTGGGGTTGGGAGGTGCATACAGGTGTTGGAAGCGGTGGCGACACTTGCTGCAGCGGAAGAGTTTATCGGAAAAGCCTACATCGCCGCACATACAACACACAGTCTCCATTGTTGACAAGGCTTGGATTTGATGACACCAAATCAAGTACGATCAGTCACTCAAAAGGGCAAAGATTTGAAGAGAGATAAAGTTTAGAATTCAGAGAGAGAGAGAGCTTTAAGGAAGAAGAAGAAAAATAGTTATGGCTGCATTCAGTGTGTGCACCTCATTTATATATAATTTATATTATATATTATATTAATTTGTACCGTGTCAACGATAGATACAGATACATACAAGTAGACCACAGGTTGCTCTCCTTTGCAGTCATTTTCATTTGGAGAGAAATTTGTGAATGATAATGCACCCCTTTCATTCAGCTTAAAAGTAAGTTACTTTTACTTTTAAGTTAAATTTTTTATTTATAATTAATTAAACTAAATAATTTATTTAAAAGTTAGATAGATATTATTTATGGTGCCTCGCTTTGTAAATTAATTGCCATCTTCTTGTTATTCCTTGAGGATATGTTCTACTATTGAATTATCTTGGTAAAATAAACACTTAAAGAATTGTTCAAATTGCACGATGTTACTAAATATATAATTAGAAAATGGAAAAGTTTTGTTTGGATAAGATTGAATTTAATTCATGTTTATCTTCTTGTGTTTAAGACAACACTTTGCATCATTTCAAGTGAAATATTAGATAAATAGTTGGGAAAAAGATCCAATAATAAAACTATTCGACTAAAGTAGATATTTCGATGTTATCCTATTAATAAAATTGCAAAATTATATTAAAATCACATTTTTTTTTATTAGTTACACTTTATTTAATAATATTTAAAGTCCTCGACTTTTCTCATTTATGTCCCTAACTTATTTTGACGTATTTTTATTCTCAACGTTTCCTTACTTAGCATATTTCTTCTAATATCGATTTTCAATTCGAAAAATCCTTTGGGAGGACGAAAGGTGACTCATTTGCCCTTTAAAAAAAAACAATAAATGCAAAAGTCTTATCACATATTTTGTTAATCATTTCAAAGCACTTGAACAAAACACTTTGACAGAGACCATCTTTAATGACGAAATGAGTTAATTAATGGAAGGTTGATAGATATATAAGAGTTCACAAAAGAAATTAAGAATATAATTGTTTTAACAAAAAGCAACGTTATTACAATATATTTTCGACCTCACATCTCTCTTTCTTCTCTATGTTTCAAATAAAGAACTTTTCATAATATCTATTACATAGAGAAGAAATATTAAGATAGCCTAATTCGTGGCTCTAAATCTATTTCACGAACAAAAAGTTCACAAGAAATATTTGATTTCACATGTTCTTTTAATAGATGTAACATAAATGGAATGAGATGGCTAGTGCACAATAAAAGATTCGGGTTTTGCTACAAGAACAGGGCATTTTCACAGGAGTGGTGGGTGGATAGTTTCACATGCTACTCACATCACATGCAGGGGGGTGGGTGCATTTTTTTTTCATTTTTTATACATGCGTGGGCCCACACTTGTGAGGGGGTGGTAAACCACCTGTGAAACTATCCCTGTACTTGGGGATTTATCCAAAAGATTCGGCCCATGTTTCTCTACCATTATTCCAAAAAATTGTTTGTTTTAGTAAGATTCTTCACCATGCATTCACCCAATAAAATATTCTACACACAAATCAATAAAGTTATTTTATTTTTCAATCACANTATTTGATACAGTAATATTCTCCACCACACATTCACCCAATAAAATATTCTACACACAAACCAATAAAGTTACTTTAATTTTCAACCACACATTCTCCAAAAAATACTATTCATTACTCTATTTTTCTCTCAATAATGGGAGACAAACACACCTTCAATTCTATCTTCCAACATAGGCTAATTATATGATTTATATTTACAATATGATTTGTTGTAAAATATTTTAATTATAATGAAGGTCCCCAACCTTCGCTTATTGTCGCACTTATGTTTCTATTTTTTACTTTATTCTCATATTCAACTTCAATTAACTAACACATCTTGTCTTTGATAACACTATTTGCCTAAAAAATTTTGTTAGGAGAGAATAAAAAAAATTTGTTTGTTACTTATATTTCTAAATACACAAAAGAAATCAAATATAAAAGTTCGACAAAATTATTTGCCTCACTTCAAAGCATGGAAAAAGAACATTTCAACTTTAAAGAATCATGCTACATGTACAATATTGATTGACAACATTCTATTTGATATCATCATGTCATTGACAACATTCTACATTACATATTGGAATTTTAACAATATATGATTGTCAACCAGTATTGTACATTTAAGTTTATTTAACTTTAAAATCTATTGGAAATCAAAGTTTATGATATAGGACTCCAAAAAGTGTACCTTTTTAACATATTTTATACTCTCAAAATCCAAATCTTGGATCCAAAACTTTTCCAAGTCTTACATCAAATAATTTAGTGCGTCATCATTGATTTTTTTTATTTTTAAAAAGACAACACATGGCAGAATTCCATTGGCAATTGAGCCAAAGATATTTTTCAACCATCCAATCACAATTTTACAAGTCCGACAAACATTCTATGTACAAATGACTTTTTCCCACCACTATAGTTGAAGCCCATTACTTATGTTAATCATAGTGTTTCACACTTTCTCAATAAAACTACTTTGTACTTTGGATTCCCACTACAATTTTTAGAATGAGAAATAATTACATCCCAATTGTGTCGCAACAACTAGGAGGTACGACGTTAATGGATTTTCCATTTAAGGACCATTCACTGCATCTGCACGTCTTCTTCGACGTGATCTATCTGTCGAGATGATTTTCGAGGGATAAAATAGTCATGAAAATATATTCTTTCGTGTGTGTGTGTATTTTTTTTTTTTAATGCATACTTTTATATAGGTTTGACAAGAAAGGGTACATAGTAAATTGGTACTTGATGTAATTACAATAAATAAAAGTTAAAATAGTAAGGAAATAAACAGTGACAGAAAGAATCATATTATCATTTAAAATTTATGGAGATTAAAGTTTATTATTAGAATGGTGAATAATAATAAATAGTAATTATCAACGTTGATTTAAATTAACGTTTTATATCCACGGGAGCCAATTGGTATGATGACATATTGGTATGGATCCATTCAGATTCCATTCGGTTTCCGATTTCCGTACAATAATTATTTTTTTAATATTTACATCACTTCCTTAATGCAACTAATGACATATTCAATTTTAACTCTTACAAAATCACGAAATCCAATCCCGTAATATCTTTTGCGCTTCTCTTTGTTGGATTGATCTAGATTTAACTGTTAAAATCACAATAAGATGAAGATAGCGAGTTTACAATAATGAAGAGAGACGCAACCAAGCATCGAATTCGATTTTTCCAGAACGACATAAATGACGCAACGGTAGAATAAGAGATTTGGGTAAAATTTAGGTCAATTTGATTAAGTTGGCTTTGTAGGAAATTAAAAATATGAAAATAATATCTTGGATTTGGGTTAAATTAATTAGTTAGGAAATTTATTTAGAAAAAAAATAAAATATTTTGATTTATTTAAGATAAAAAAAAGTTTAAAAAATTAAGGAGGTTTATTTCTTCGATTTTTGGTCTAGAATCGAGAATCAAACCAAACCCGTCGGTTATCAATTCAAATACCATTTTAGTATTTAACTTAAGAAAAATCGCTTAGTTCAATTTGATTTGAATCTGATTCGGTTCGAAAGTTTTGTCAAACCCTCTCAAATATCTTTTTATTCATATTTTTTGAATGATTTTCAAATACTATCCACTTATTTACCGCTAATTTATGTCTATTTATAATTTAAATTGTTTATAAATGCTTCACAAATATGCTTGTACTAGACAATGAGTTTTATCCTGTGTGGAGGACGAGATTGATTTTTCAAGTTGGGTAGATGAAATTTTTGTAGATTTCACAAGGGAAATACTCGACGAGATGTGTTTTTAATTAAATAAGTCCATATTTGTGTGTTGGATAAAACTTATATAACCTGCTAAGATTTTGATACGAGTTTTACTGACACCATGTTGGCAAATGGTACTAGCATTGAGCTGAGTATTGTTATGTTATATGAATTGGAAGAGCAAACAGAATTCAACAGATTCAGGTGTCACGGACTGCAACTTTACTTAAACTCCGTGACTCTATCGCAGCCGCAGTTTGCCCAACTTCGGCTGCACATTGTAAATATTTCATTTAATTGTAAAATAGTTGATAATTAGAAAAGTTTAGTAAGATTCCTCGACTTTTTAACGTCTACTCCCGTCATATGGGTTTTTGTTGCTAAGTCTATTATAAGGGGTATTAGTCTTTCAAATATCTTTCAAATTTTCTAATGTTCCCCCCTACATTGGCCATTGTAATTTCCTGCTTTCGTCTATTGTAATGTTCAGCTTTCAAGCAATCAATGATCAAGTTTATTTCAATGCATGTTGTAAGTTTTCTTTAAATTGTGATCAAATTTACTTTCGTCCCGAAACGACTGAGAAAAGGCGAAAGGTAGTCTAGCGGAGGAGACTACTACTGCACGATGTCCCTTTCTGTGCTAAGAAGAAAGGTAACACATGAAACCAGGACTTGTAAATTATAAGGGTTAAATCACTTTGCCAGAAGAATAATATCAGAATCATAAGTGACACGAGAAGATTCGATGGAAAAGATGATTATATTTTAAATAGTCTGATAGAGTGTCATGATATTATATCAATCAACATGTCAATTATTCTAACAGTGTAACATGGTTCAAATTGTAATATGTATTTGCGATAAAGTCAATGGGTCGAGCCGAGCCGGCTCGGCCCATTGACCCACGAGCTCGGCTCGTTACAAATACCCGAGCTCGTGTCCGGCTCGTGGGCTGAGCCGAGCTTTAGCTCGTGGCTCGGGTAAATTTTTTTTTT